TATAATTCTTTAAATGTCCTTAGTATGATGCCTAATAAGCTTTTCACAACTCGTAGATACTATTACCACTGTATCTACTACTGTCTGATTCCCCCCACAAAAGGACTTGTCCAAACAAAATCTAATTTATTTGGGCAAGATCTTGTCCAGATAAATCTTGTTATTCTCTTGAGGTAGCTGCTTGTATACATTTGCTCCCTAGAATGTCTCTGGGATGGGCAAGTTTATATTGATCTCTGTAGTGGCTGTAGACAAAAAGAATTTATGAAGGAATGAAAATATGACTTCTTAAACCAAAGTTCTTATAAAGCTGTTGCATATGTCAGCTGTCTACTTTGGGCTTTTTGCTAGAATAATTATTTATCTCCTAGAAGAAGACCTACTTCTTGACAGAATGTATCTTTTCCCCAGCCTTTCTTAGCTTTCCACATTGGGAAAGCAGCATCATGTAGCCAGTTTACTGGAAAGACAGGAGTCTTCCAATAAAGATCAGTCCCTGCCTGAGTGACCTCCCACATGGGTTATCGTTAGCAAATCTCAGTGCTTTTTGGAGCATCCGTTTCCCAAATGTAAAATGAGAACATTAGCTCCTACTTGCCTAGGTTGTTTGATGATAAAGATGTTATAACTTATGTAAAACATGTGGCACAGAGTAAGTGCTCAATTAATGCCAATTCTCTATCTACTCTTCTCCATCAAGAAATAAGATGAAAAAGCCTGACCCATGACCTGGTGGTTAAGGGAGCCAGATTCCACATGGTTGATCCTGGTTTGAGTTTGACCTGTGACTTGAAAAACTTTGCAGGTACTGTGCATGCATGCCAAATATCCAAAAGGACAGAGAAGTGGAGGAGAGGGGATTGTGGCATGGCTATGCCCCACCAATGGATGCTTTCTCTCTTGCTCTGTCTCTCTCTGGTGAGTATACACACATTCTGGCAAAAAGGAAAAGAAATAAAAAGAAACAAAGCCACAAACACTCTAAGGAAATTCTCAGGGATTGATAGCCATATAAGTGGCTTAGGAGGAAAGTCATCTCAGAAGCAGGTCACTGCAATTTCCCTCAAAAATTCATACTTACTGAGCTTATGGTTAAATACCTTTTCTGATAACAAGACTCTAAGGATGAAGAGTGCTTAAAGCTCAGTGAAGAAATAATAGCAAATTGGGTTTGGGACTCTGTTTTATTATGATTGAATTGGAGAAAGAACCAGATTATTTTACTAAATGCTACCTTTAGAAGGATGAAAAAATATAAATCCTAAAAGCGGTTTATAGTTTCATGGTGGTGACCACTTTCTTGGTTCTTTTGAGTTCACTTCACAGTGACAGTGAAAAAATTTTGTAGGATCAACACTGTTACTCACTTGCAGTTGACAGTTTGTATGTTTTTAAGTGTATCTGCTGCTTTGAAGAAATTCTTGACCTACTTCTGAATTAGTTTTTCCAGTGAATTCAACCTTAGAGATTATCTTAGTTAAAAATCTTTCTTCAAGTAACTCCTGAAAAATAAACTGTACCTCCATCAGGACTAATTTGCTTTACTCCATTGTCTATGATTTTAGAATCGTATCAATTTAAAAAACAAAAGTATAATAAATTTTTAAAATAAAGTAAGCATGTTATGTTAGTCCTACATCACTTTTTTTCTTGGAGAGAGGTTTTGGCTATAGGGTGCATCCATTTGCCAGAGAGACAGAAAACAAGAAATTACACCGTACCTATGGGGGATGGCCATGCAGCAGTCCCTTCTCCTCCATTCTCCTCTTGGAATTTTGGGCATGCACACACACATAACCAGTGTGAGTTTCAAGCTGCCAGGTCCAGGACTCAAACTGCAGTCTGCTACGTGGGAGTCCAGAGCTTTAACCACTATACCACCTGTTGGACCTGTTTTGTTGTTTTTTATTTCTTCATGGTAGATTTTTCTACCTGACTACCAAAGTATGGCACCTATAATTCATTGCAGAACAAAAATACATTTATGATTAACACAGTTATGTTCCAAAATTTAACAGTTCTTTTTTTTTTTTTGGAGAGGTTTTTGCTCTAGGGCATGTGCACTTGCCAGAAATATAGAGAAAGGCAGAGAGACAGAAAGCGAGAAATCACCCCCCCCAGTGGGGGATGGCTATGCCACAATCTCTTCTCCTCCATTCTCTTCTCGGGATCTTGGGCACGCACGCACACGCACACCCACCCGGCTTGAGTCTATGCCACTAGGTCTGGGGCTCGAACCATGGTTGACTACATGGGAGTCGAGCAACAAAGCCATTATGTTATCTGCTGGTCCCCAATTTAACACATTTTAAAAGTTTTACTCATTATTGAGTTCCTTATTAGGGTTTTAATTTTAATATCTTTACATGTAACAATCTATTAAATAGAATTTTGGGGTAATAATTTGTAGAACTCAGGATTCTAATACCTGCTCTTCAATGCAGTGAGCCCCAACCACACCCAACCAAGGATAACTTTCAGAAGCACATAATCTTTTGGAGGTTATCTTGGAGAGAACTCAAGTAATTGGCCAAGGTTTCTATAAGATTACAAATTTTAGTGGAAAATGAAAAGAAGTGAACGTTAATGAGTGCTCATTATGCACCAGGCAGTATATTCTGTGTTTTCACATCATTTCACTTACTTAAATTCTCCTTCAAATTTGGATTTTTAGACACACTTTACATCTTATAGGTCAGTGAGATGAGATTAATCTCTGAGGCTCACAAGGAAGGTAAGTGATGAACCTGGGGTGATACTCCAGATCTGTGTGACATCTCAGCTCATGTTCTTTCTGTATCATCTGCAGAATATGAAGAAGCTGCTTTTATGCTGTCTTATATGTGTTTCAATCTATTAAGGAGCTTTGGTGCATTTGCAAGGCTATTAACACGTTTTAGGTGTTCTACATACCTCTGTATACATGCATTCACTGGTTTACTTTCTCAGCAAATATTTCCTAAGTAAGTACCATATTTTAGTAATTGAATCTTTAATTTTCTTGAGTGCTTATTGTATTTTACAATCTGGGATTAAGTGAACAACACAAACAAAAATCCCTGATCACAGCAATTTGTATGTTTAACTATGAGTGTGTGTGTCTTTGAGTTATGGTAAATATTTAGTGTCTTTCTCCAATATCCACAACTTTCTTGTTTAAGACTCCCAACTTTTAGGTGACACATAGCTGCCTAGAATAAAAACTGTTTTGCAGCTGAATGTGGCCAAGAAAATAAGTGGAAGTCTAGTCTAGTGTGGCTGCTTCTAGGAAATTTCTTTCGGAGTGTTACTGAGTCCCGTTGTCAGCTTTCTTCCCTCCTTCTTCCTCTTGCTTGGAGTATGGGTACGATGGCTAGGACTCTATCCAGTAAGAGTAGGATAAGGACCACATCCTGGGAATGACAGAGCAGTAACTTGGACTAGCTTGTATGTGTAACAGAGGAGTTTTCAGCCAATCTGGATTATTTGTGTCTGGATATCTGAATTGTTCAGAAAAAGAGAAATCAAATTCTATCTAAGTTGGATGACTCTTACTAGCAGTTGAGCCAAATCCATATTGAAATATTGTGTTTGAATTTTCAGTTCATGTTATTATTTTTCCTTGCTCAGAATGCCTTTATGTTTCTCCTCTTTACCCAGCACTTCTCCAGTCTTATTCTAACCCCTATACTCGTGTGCAGAGTGTCTCAAAAAAACATTATTTGAACTTCTGTATTTGGTTGTGCCTAGATATGCTGTCTAGATTTTTCAGTTATAGTAATTTTTATTTTTTTACTTAAAGTTAGCTTGGCTTTGAGTTTCGACTAAAGCGTATGCATATATTGAGTTCTTAATGCATGTATTTATTATCATATATATGTTATAAACATGTCATATGTTGATAAATATGTTATAAACCTAGACCAAAAGTTGCTTAACATGTAAGCATGCTGTGTAGAAATCTTCCTGATAATAAATATATGCATTAAGTAAAATCCCACAACTCCTTAGATTCTAGTCAATTATAAATTTCATCTATTTTCTTGATGTTATCCATTATGCATCCAAATTTGTAATGGTATAATAGAAGTTATATTTTTCACTTTTACTAGTTGTACTAGTATAGTTATCTTTGAGAGAAAAAATCCATTATATGTGAAGATAAAAAGAATTCTGAATAATCTCCCCTCCCCCATTCTTTTCAATTTTATTGAAAAATAGAAAAGTGAAGGATGGAACATGTCATGGAGTTCAGTTTCTTCTCAGTGCAGAACTGATTCCTTGAAAATCCTTTCTAATATGTTATCCAGTCTGGGTTTAAAAGTCCCAAATGCTGAGGCTTTTATCAATTCCCTTAAAAGATTATATCTCACATAGCAGATTGGAGCATACCAACAGTTCCTGAAGCCCAAAATAAGCTCACTTATTGTTGTCATTTGTGAAATTTTGCTGCCCAAATATGCTTCTCCTTTCTTCATGAGTGCCCTCATTACTTTTGGTTCTTATTATTGTCTTTGAACATTCTCTAAGTTGCATCTCTGTGCAGATTAAGTTCATTCTCTCTTGGTAAATCCATATGACTTATAGTGATTCTGAACACTTTCCCAATAATTGTGAAGTGTCATGAGCTGTAAAATGACATTTGGTCAACATAGACTGCATATAGGACAGCGGTCCCCAGATATTACATAATGGCATACACCATATAGTCTAAGTATGTAGAAGGTTATACTATCTAGTTTTTTGCAAATATGCTTTATGATGTTTGTACAACAGTGAAATCATCTCATGATGCATTTCTCAGAATGTATTTCTGTCAGTAAGTGACACGTGACTTTATTTATTTGAATTGTTTAACATTTCAGAGGTAAAATCAGCCCTTGAGTTTCTTTGTGTAATTATAACTTTGACATAGAAGATGTAATTCACCTAATTATCATAGCCACTTACCTAATGTAAATACTTATTTTTTTAAATATGGTTTTTTTTTTTTGGTTTTATAACTTTATTTGAAAATCAGCAGTTAGTTCTCATCCACATTGACGGTAGATTTTTGCATGTGGTAATAGGTACATAGGTCACCAGAGTGTAGAGCTTGTTGGATGAATCTTCATCTTCGTTTGGTTTTCTGGACAACTGCACACGGATTCGATATGGGACATTCCTTATTCCTTTGGCCCAGACAGCTTTGTTGAGCCTAGTGTCAATGCGCACATCTGGAGTCCCCATCTCTTTCATGGCAAATTTCCGGATTTCTTTGAGTGCTCGAGGGGCACGTTTCTTGAAGCCCACGCCATGGATGCGCTTGTGAATGTTGATGGTGTATTCCCGGGTCACCACCTCGTTGATAGCAGAACGGCCCTTCTTCTTCTTGCCACCCTTCTTTGCGGGAGCCATTCCGCCAGGCCTAAGCTGGAAAGCTTAAATATGGTTTTAAAGAGTTGTGTTCAAGCTTTGGTAGACCTGAAATACTTTCTAATGTTTGCATTGAATAAACAATTTTTATATTCTTACTCCATCGAAAGGTTAAAAGTTAATTTTCTAGTTAATAATGATTTATTAAAGTCTCCAATACCCTTTCCATCCCACTTTAAATAAAATTTGAACTTCCTATTATCTGTGAGGTCTAACGTTGCCTGCTTCCTCTTCCTTGCTTCTAGCCAGTGACTGGCTACCCTACGCTGGAGGAGATAACTAGTTTCTTGTTTCTAGTCTCAGCTTTTCATTTCTCCCTCAGTCCATTTTTATTCTTTTTTCGTTCTCTTCATTTCCTACTTATCCTCATTTCTCATTTCTATTTCCCTTGCTAGACTGTGCACTACTTGGCATCAGGCAGGGATTATATACTAGTTTTCGTATACCTTTTAAACAGACTACCATGTTCCCTGTATATTACCTTGGGCTGTTGGAAAAATGTTGATGCATTTTTACATAGGAAAACATAGAGAAATACATCATGACTTTTCCAACAACCCAATACATTGTATATCTTATAATATGTATTATAAAAATTTTTAAGTGAATACATATATGTCAATGCATGAGCGTGAAGTAAAAGAAAATAAATATTTTGAAAAAGAACATGTCAATTGAGTATAAAGAAATTCAACTATTACAGTTTTTGGGTTTTTTTGTTTGTTTGTTTGTTTTTAAAAGAATCATAGAATACTATTGTTGGGAAAAAAAAAAACAAAACAGAGCATTCAATGCTTTCCTTTTTAGGTAAGGAAGCTGTGATCCAAAGAAAATAAATAATTTGTCAAATGTCATATGGTTAATGAATGGCAGAGCTACTGGATGCTCTTGCTGCCTGTGTATGTCCCACTATGCTTGCTTGTCACCCTCTCGATATCTGCTATTGCATTCCACTTGTACTAAGTGAACTTTATCTAATTAACATGAAGTATTTGTACTCTTCCCAGTCCCCATTTTTTCCTCTTATGCTTTACATTAAGAAAATATAAAAATACAGATAAACTTTTCCTTTATTTTTATGAAGTACTACTTGTTGATTTATAATAACAAAGAAACCTGGTAGTATTTTTGAAATTGACTTTGTGCTGAAATTACTCTGGTTTGTTAAATGTTACCCCCAGACCTCTCTATTGTGCCTTCTACACCCATCTCCGTTAGTCCCAATGTACTCCATTCATCAAACTGAAGAAAGATTTAAACCAAAGAGAAGACCAGCAAAGTTTTTTTTCTGTTTTTTGGAGAGGTTTTTGCTATAGGGCATGTGCGCTCGCCATAAAGACAGAGACAGGGAGACAGAAAGCGAGAAATCATACCCCAGGGTGGGGGTGGCCATGCTGCAATCCCTTCTCCTCCATTCTCCTCTTGGGATCTTGGGAACACACGCACACACACCAGGCGTGAGTTTTAAGCCACCGGGTCCAGGACGCGAACTGCGGTCGACTACGTGAGAATCCAGTGACATAGCCATTCTGCTAACTGCCGGTCCCAAGACCAGCAAAGTTTTGTATATCTCTGAATGAAATGTGGCAATGTAGGTACAGCAGTGAAAGGGGTGGGAATACTGTGAACTATATCCTGCCTGGAAACCACTTGAGGGATATGTGACATTTAGTGTTGTAGACAACTTAGGACACCATTCAGTGCTTAAAACCACCATGAGCCTGAGAGAGTAACTTGTGAAAATAAAATGATTAGATTTATTCAGTGAGGTAAGGAAAGAAGAAGCTAAGAGAGAATTAAAGGGAGTGTAGATCTTTGCATTCTTAAAGACACAATGCCCTATATCATTTGTTAATTTAAAAGTAGTATAAAATGTATGAGATATTAAAATGTCCAGAGCTGTGTAATGGCTTTTAAGGTAACTTTTAATGAGGTACATTATATTTGGTCACCTGTTAGGTAAGCCACTCTTGGTGAACCATTAAAACATAGACTAATAAAGTAAAACACAATGCTTCTTTGTGGCTATAGCAATATTGTAAGGCTTGGTGAGAATATCGAGAGTCTAAATTAAGCAACAACAGTTGGGAAGTAGGACATTTCCTGGGGACTAATGTCTAGCTGGGTGGAGTTGGTGGGCCGTGGCTATCTTGTGCGTGATTAACCTCAGCTGATTATTAATTCCCAAGAAATACCTGATGGTGAGGTCATTACTGTAACTGTCACCTTAAAGAGAGAGAAGGATGGTAGACTCCAGAGTGGTGAAGTTAAAAGAATGGTGATTATTTCATATAAAATAAGTGCTCTATAGACCAAAGAGCTATAATGTTTATTGAGTGATTTCTCATTTTGTAAATGGGAAAGAAGAATAAAGTACCCCTCTTTTTAGGCAGGTTGAGTAGGAGAGTGAGACAAGGAACATGGTAGACATACAAAAGGTGAAAGATATGACTTTTCTTTTAAACTTGCCTCTTTAAAAGTGATTGGTAAAATATTGAGAGCATTTCTAACAATGCAAGATTTCCGACAATGGCAAACAGTATTTGGGATTTGTTATACATACTGTCTCATTTGTGTTTGTTTTATTCGACTCTGAATAAATAAATGGGGGCAATGAAGAGGAGCCAGAGGGGGTTGATGAAGAAGACTAGCATGGAGGTGAATGGCTTGGCTTCACAGGGATTGTGATCTTGGGCCCTGGCATACTCTAGGTTTCAGTTTCTTATCTGTAAGGATGGACGGTGGTCTTGGTATGTCTAAAGGCCAGTTCAGCTCTGAATCTTATGTACGTGTATTTAAGGAGTAAAAGATCTTACTGAGATAAGGACTGTAGAGTTTTGAAATAGTGAGGTAAACTACTGCAAAGAAAGTCAAGAACTTCTGGGAGAATAAGAAGCTTTAAGTGGGTGGGAACAAAGTTTCCTAATTCCAATTATTGATGGTACTTACTTATTTTTGAGATTGACTCATTTTTGGTTTTGCAGGCTTCTAGCAAAACAAAAATTATTTAAATGTCAATTTCCTACTGTTTTAATTGAAAATTGAATTTAGGAAATAATCCTACAGGCAGCTGATTCCCTGTCCTCCTGTTTTGACACCCCCCAGTGGTGACAGGGGGCAGCTTTACTGCTGGTAATATTTCAAAGCCCAAAATTTCTATACACAAATAGAATTTGAACTGAGAGATTAAAGCTCAGAGAGAGGAAGGTGGTGAAGTAGGCTGCACAGTTTTCCATACTGGATCACCTTCTTGACTGTACAATTCTAAGGCTCATTACCATTCTCTCTTCCACTGGAACTTTCTGACATGTTCATTAATTCAGTCATCTGTTCTTTCAAGATTTCATAAGCACTATCTATATGCCTGGGACTTGCTATGTGCTGAGAAGGTAAATAAAGTAATACATAACTCCGATCTCTAAGGATTTCATAAACATCAATGTAATTAAAAGAAAAGATGAAAGACCATGAGTGGCTCTGATAAAAGTAGTTGTACAAAACAGGAAGTGATCTGTTCTTCCCAGGGATATTTTGGAGCTCAGGCAAGTTATCCCAGGAAATACTGACCTGAGTCTCAGGGGATGAACGAGGATATCTTGAGAGTCAGTCTGGTAGCTATCCTTAGGTGATTACGATAGTGTATATTTAAAGAGTGGAAGAAGGCAGTATCGACAACTATGCCAAGACTACTACAACATGCAGTCAGCTAGCTAAGAAGAAAGTAAACAGTTTTAAGCAGGAATATATTAGGATTAGACTTGCATTTTAAAAAGATTATCATAGAGTCTGAGTGGTGAATGGATGGAAAGAACATGGCAAGTAGAAGTGTCACTTTTAGGAGGCACTGGAAGAGGAAATGGTTAATCTGACCAGGATAGAAGTGAACGTATTGATGAAGGGAAGATGTGAAAAATATTCACAGACATAAAACACAAGATGTAATCACAGCTTGGATATATATATGGGTGAAGAAGATAGAGAGATACCTAGGCCCCATCCTGGTTTGGGTAACTGGATAGGACAGCATGGGGAAGAGAAGGGAAGAAACTCTTGAAAGTCGAGTTGAAGAGGGGGTAAGGAGAAAAGATAATGACTTTTGTTTTGGCCATAATAAAAACTATTCATAGAGATATCTAGTAGGAAATTGGAGCCACCTAGTCCCAAGTTATAGGTAAAGTATTTAAAGCAATAAGGTAGATGAGATATTGGGGAGAGTATATAGAATGAACAAGAAAGAGTTGAGGAGAGAAACCTTGGGGACACCAATGTTTAGAAAGAGGCCAGAAGAAAAATCCCCATAAGGAGCTCTGAAACAAAGTCCAGCCATCATATCCTGCTCTGCTTTTTTGTTGATGTATGCAGAATGTCTATTTCAAACCAACTTTTGATACAGCATTTAGTTTATCAATAGGAAATTAGAAACTAGAAAAACTAGACAATAAAATAGCATTATTTAAAGTGATCTTTATATTTTTGGTTGTTATTGTAAAGAACAATTTTAGAACTAGAATGTGCAAATAACTGTTGTCTTAGAATTGTCTCAGGCTTAAAACTTGCTTAATTTAATTACTTTGACAATAGTATGTGATTTAACTACCAGTAGTATATTTTTAAACTCACCATCAGAGCAGAGTTCCTCTAACCAAAATTATACCTTCAAGTAATGCCCTTGTTTTCATATTTTCAGGTAAAATGTAATGTACTGTTTTCATGTTGATCAGAAAATCTGAAAAAAAAAAAAGTTTAATGAACGACTAAAAAAATTCCACTAGAAGCCTGGAAGATTTTGTTCTACCTCCGGTTACCTTCGGAAAAATCCCCAGACTTTTCCGTATCTGCTTCCTCATCAATAAAATGATAGTTTTGAACTTTGTAACCCTTAAAATCTCTTTTGGCTCAAAGATGCTGTGGTTCAATTACAGACTAATGTCCACAGAGAAAAATAGGAATCAATAAGTATATTTATCTTTTACTGATTATATGCT